AGGGCTCATACCGGATACCTCTAATTCATCCACTACACCACATGTTTGAATTTGATAATTAGTTGAGGAGGTTAGCTCATATTCAGAGTGGATACCTGTATAGTTAAGAGCACTGTAATTCTCCAATAAAACCATCTCTCCATGAAGATCCACAATATCCCTGCCTAATCTATTCACCTCTTCATTTGACTTTCCCATCTCAGCTACCCTCTCTTTCAAAACCTGCAATCAATTGCTACTACTATTAATTGACAAAGAATCATGTGATTTGCAATTGAATTTAACAAAAGAAACCCTACGGACCTTAAGGTGAATGATGTAGTCTTCTTCTTTCTCGACAAAGAAAGTGTTGAACTTATCAATCTCCTCTTCTAAGAGCTTTACAAAATCATTCACCTCCTTGGCAAGCTCATCATTATTCAATCTCTGTTTTTTGATAGGCCGATCATCCTGAGGATAAATCAATTTCAATTCTTTCTTCAGATCTTTGTAACTCAAGAATTTGTCTTGCCATTCCGGCAATGTTTCCTCTATGTGACTCTTCAATATCTTCCAGAACTTCATCTCTGATTTTTTCCTTACAATAGAAGATTGCAGAAAATGGAGTTTAAAGTATATAAAAAGGGCATAAGAGAAAGAATATTCCAAGCAGTGGTTTAGGGGAATTTGGCATATTTAAAACGAATATCCTCATTCCTTCTCTTTCGGTGCTTATTAGATGCTCTTTGTTTTCACCGTTTAAATTCAACCCCATCTTCCCTACCAATTATTTATTTCCCTTTTTATTATTAAAATCCACTTCTATATTTCTATTATTATAATATATAGTGGTAAGAAACAGAGAATCTCCTCTTTTTTCACACTTATTATTATTATTATTAATAATTATATAAAAGTTGGTCAAATCTACTTGTAAATCAATTTTTGAATTCTAAATGTGTTTGACGAATATAAAAAATAACTTAAAATAAATTACAAAGTGTTTAACAAGGTAAAATATATATTAAAATAAGTCAAAAATCAAAAGTAAGTCTCCTTTACTTTTTATTTTTATTTTTTTGACTTACGAATCAGTTTGATTTTTATTTTTGACTTAAAAACTATTTTCTTAAGCCAATTCTATTTCTTTTCTAGAGTCTGATATTGGTGTGGGTTGAGAGTTCTAACACAACTATGAAATATCAAGAAAAATTACTTAGGAAACAACACTTAAGTTTATGTGTTAAAGGCTATATTGTGATTTTAGTTCTTCTGTTATCTAACTTAGCACTATTAACCTTCAATTATATCATGAAGTGAGTGATTTTAATCCTTTAACTTATGGATCCAAATAAATTAATGGAGAGTTCAATTCTACAGGGGCAATTCAGGTATTTAAAAGTTGCTGCTTGAGAAATAGAAAATATTAAAAAAAATCATTGTTGCATAGCCTAGTCGTCGTGAATGTGCAATGGGATTGTGTTCTAAAAATGGTTTGCAATTCACTCCATCATATATGAGTACTCTTTTTAGTTAAATAGTTTAAAATTTCATGTGACAGACAAAAAATAATATCTATATCAAAATACTTTAAATTATAATGTTATGCAAATTTGAATTATAATTATTTGTATATGTGAAAATTTGATTCTGAATATACTATTTGTTAACTTCAAGCTACTAGAAGAAATCAATTTCAAACACCCTAAGAATCTGCATCATATTTAATTTTGGTTAGAAATAAACAAAAAATTGTTAGCATCATCATCAAAAGCATCACATAAATTCAATGTTTTCAACTATATCTTAAATATATCTTGAAAAATTTCATTTCAATTATTGTCAATTTCAACAATAGTAACAATCACAGAATGACTTAAGGAAACTGCTAATACTAGAATAGAGAGATTAGAAATGATTGCAAGACCCTTCTAAATTGGATATATTATAAATCCAACTCGTCCAATTGATTATAAGTAAAATTATAAAACTTAAAAAAATTAAGAAGTATTAGGCTGTTCGATTTATTATGGTAGGAAAACTTCTAATTATTGGAGGAAATATCGAGAAGTATTAATCCTATCTCGGCATAACAATTTCCTATCGTTTGAAGGAAGTATTAGTGGTAAGAAAGAATATCCTATTCTGCACTGATCCAATATCTATTCACACTTAATATTATTTTTTCATATAACCAAATTAATTAATTTTAATTTTAAATATATATATATATATATATATATGGTATTAAATCATCTCTATTTCTTTTCCAAAAATCTGATATTGGTGTGGGGCCGAGAGTTCTGACACAACTATGAAATATCAAGAAAAATTACTTAGGAAAACAACATATTTAGTGTATGTGTTAAATATGATTTTAGTCCTTGTGATATCTAACTTAGCACTATTAACCTTCAATTATATCAAGTGACTGATTTTAATTCTTTAACTAATAACAAAAAGATCACCCCTGAAAGGGGCGATTCAAGTATTTAAAATTTGTTGCTTGAGAAATAGAAAATAATTTTTTTATTTAAAAAAACCATCGCTGCATAACCTAGTTGAACCCTAATTCTGTACAACGAAGAAGTCCCCGATCTATTTGGTGTGGATGTGCAATGGAATTGTGTTCTAAACTAGTATTTGGCCATATATTCTTAGCAAATATTGTTTGGGTGAAAATTTCGGTGAAGTTTCACCATGTGTTTGTTTGGTCATAATATTTGGAAAATATATTTCACTTTTTAGAAAAATATGATTTGTACCCATAAGTTTTAAAAACTTTAAAACTAACCATAAATTTTTATTACAAGTCAATTAGATCTTCGTTGCAAAAAATAACAAGTAGTGCCCATAACACTACACCAATGTGATAGTTTGGAGTGAGTGCAACAAACATCATTCCCTGCACTGCTATCCGAAGCCGATTGTTCATCATTTTTATCATCACATTCATATTCACTAAATATTATGTTTATGTAGAAAATTATATTATACAACACAAACAACTACTATAGAGAATGATTTCGTAAAAGATAAAAGTTTAGTGTAAAATTTCAATTTTCAAAAGATCCCAAATAATGAGATTTGCCCAAATATTAGAAAAGAAATAATATTTGAATTTGAGATATTTGTCAAAAATATTTACCAAATAATGACAAATTGAATGGATAAATAAATTTTTTCCAAGTATTATTTGAAAAATCTATCGCCAAACGAACCCTAAGAGTGAGTTGTAATTCTCTCCATCATATGAGTACTATTTTAAGTTAAGTAGTCTAAAATTTCACGCGACAGACAGGGAATAATATCTCAACAAACATATCAAAATACTTTGAATTATATTTCCCTAATGTTATGCAAATTATATGTATATGCGAAAATATGATTCTGAATAAACTATTTGTAAACTTGAAGCTACCTAAAGAACTCAATTTCAAACACCCTAAGGATCTGTATGGTAACGCACTACATTTAAGTTTGGTTGAAAAATATAAAAAGTTATTAGCATCATAAATTTAATGTTCTCAACTATTTCTTAAATTTATCTCGAGCAATTCCATTTCAGTTGTTGTCAGTTTCGACAACTCCGACAATCTGAGCTTGATATAGAGCCTGTTTGGATGAGCTTAAAAGCTGGTCAAACTAACTTAATAGTCAATTTTTGACTTATTAGAGTGTTTGACAATCATCAAAGTGACTTATTTTAAGTTCAAAAAATGACTTATTTTTAGCCAAAAGCTAAAAGTTAGGTGAGAGATGTGTTTTTTTAAACTTAAAAGTCATTTTATGTTGACCAAGTACATAACCCTTGTTGAACCCGATTTTGACCCTCCCCTGCGATAATTTTCGAGCTCCTTCGATCTTAAACAATCTAAAAAAAATAGTTTTTATAAAATTTTGAGGAAGTACAAGCTTACAAATTATTTTAAATAATTTTTGTCACTTTTTGTATTTTTAGCAATATATATATACGTTTCATATAATTTTGTACATGAAAAATTATTCTATAGATATCTCGAAGAGCATCCCAAGAGGTTTTAATTTCTAGTAAGTATTTTGGATAAATTAGTTTGGTTTAAATTATGGTTATAACTTCAAGCTATCGTTTTGTAATTAAGTTAATTATTTTATTTTTATTAAAAAATCAAGAAGCTCCTAAGTTGATTACATTTGTTCGTCTTGTTTTGGTCTTAATTAAATTCGAAAGTTAATCCGATTGGGCCGAATCAATGTTTAATGCTAGTCATTTGAAAGACCAATTGTAGGCCTTCATAATTGTTCTACTCAGCAGCCCACTCCCTATAATTCCTTATCAGTGGCCCATTCCCGAGCCCATTTTGTTTTTCTATCTCTAATTAATTGACCCAACTCATGTATTTTGCAATTTGTAAAGTTTCAATTCCATATAACTCAATGTAATTCCCGTCCCACCCTTTATTCCTTCGACCCGTCCAGCTCAATTCACCAAGGAGAAATTCACCAGGGCAAACGCGTGAAAGCCCCTTTTTCCTCGCAAAAAAAAATTGGAACGCAAATGGATACAAAACCCTAGCAACTTGAGAAGAGGTCCAGGCGCGTGAGTAGTAAAGGTAGCGAGAACGAGTGTAACGGAAAGTGAAGGAGGGCAGGCCGGTACACCGCGCTTTTGTCTTCTTTTTTCCATCGCTCTCAAATTGTACGATTCCCAGCAACTCAGAACACGCGAGAATCGTCCTTGCAGGCAAAGATCGAGCCACGTCGACGCTAAGGGCAATGGACGTCTATTTCAACTGTCTATTCCTCCTTTCTTTTTTGAGGATGAGGCCAAGGTTCAGAAAAAGGTGTCTCCCTATTTTTGGGTAAGGGTTTTGAATTTTTGAATTCAAGGGTAAAAAATTTGATTTTTTTAGGGTTCTCCCCCCCTCCTTCCCCCCCCCCCCCCAAAATGAACCCTAAAAATTCCCTCTATATAAACAACTTTTCTTCTCGGTTGCGGGCACAAATTTTGAGAAGAGAGAAATTTTTTTATAAAGGCCTTTTCCCAAACAAAAAGGGATATCGAGTTCTTTTCGTTTTAGCCTTTGTTTGATACTTTGGATTTTTTTTTTGAGGTTGAACTCTCAGAGAAAGGGGAATATAGATAAAGCTTAAGGAAGAATCGAGTCGCATTTCGCCGATGTAAAGTCACTGCCTATCTTACTCATTCCATCCAAGTTCACTGCCCCCCCAAGGTAAATGAATCGTATCTCCTTTGTTCATTCCGTTTTTAATAATTGACTGCGTCCTTTGACGGGTTTTAAAATGATCCTGCTTGGTGCGTTCCATAAAAAAAATTCATTTTTTCTTTATCCTCAACTTATTCCCTTTAAGTTAGGTATTGTGTATTTCGTTTTCGAGGTGATTTAATAAATGTTTAAAAAAATTTCTTTCCTCATTCTTAAATCTTCTTGAGCTTGTGATTATCGTGCCTGCCTCAGATCTCATCTTGTTTGTTTGTTAATCACCTAGTTATTGTTTTATCTCTATTTGTGGATTGATATTCATGTCCTGTGGTGCATTTTTTACACGTCAAAAGAACTGTTCCACTGATATTCGCATAAAGTTTTCAAGTTTATATAGGTTAGTTCTCACTATATCAATGGGAATAGATTTGTGTAAATCTTTGGGGTCGTCTTGTATCGTAAGCGATTTCTAGTCGTTATAAAAACACATGTTTTGATTCTGTTTAAGTTCTTTTCTATTTATTTCTTTTCTTTTATTAGATGTCATCCATGCCTAGCTCAAATATGTTATTTTTTTTGGGATTGTGCTTACTTTTCCACTTTTGGGGGCCTAGTGTTTCAAAGAGTCTCTTGTAGTTAATCTCTACATTAATTTTGATTTATTATTGAGTGTTTTATGCTACTATAACTATCTATACACCCTAATTAACGAAGCTATCATTTAAATAAAAAGAAGAAGAAACATTCTAATTTCAGTTTGAAATTATGCAAAAGTTGTAGTTGGTATCCTTTTTCGTTACTTGTTAAGCTGCGAATTCGAATCATTCTAGCCATGAAAGACATATGATAGTCCTATTTGCTGCCGGCTATTCATTGTCGGAGAATGGCGCTTACTGTAATTTAGTGTAGGTATAAAGGTTCTTTAGTAAGTTATGATGGAGTTTGTTTTGGAGATAGATTTTGCGAAGTTTTGTGTTGGTTCATTTTCTAAATTAGTATATACCTTTTAAAAAAAAATATAAATGAAATATATTTTTTTAATTTTGTATACGCCTTGAAGAAACTTCTTCAATTCTTATGTGTAAAGAATCATGCTAAATTTACTGTAATTTCTAAGTTGTTTTAGTTGTCAAGCTCATCCCTGTTAGCCTCTTGTATGATCTTAACTTTATTTAATTAAATTGCAACCTAAGTATGAGTTTATCTATGAATTTGCTTGATTTGAATGCTACCTGCATAGTTGTTAATGTTGCAGTATGTTTTGTTTAGCAATTAATATTTGAGGGTTACCTATTGTGTTTTCATTTGATAGTCTATTATTTGGTCTTTTCTGCTCATACATGATAATAGTAACAGAATTTGTGTTTGAATCCCCCTTCATACTACTTTCCTTATTAGGATGTTGTTCATACATTTGATAATTAAGTCCTAATCCCCAATGATCAATGTGAATATATATTATCCATTATCATTTTAATTTTTGTGCAAAAGTCATGACAGTCTCCAATTATTTTTTGTTGCATAAATTGGTACATTTTTCCTATCTTCCATTTTGATTACGTATTATCCTATTTTATTTTATTTTTATGCTTGGAAGTTTGTCCGGGTCTTGCGGATTTTATCCTCGCTTTCTCCTTTGGGCCATGGGGTTTCAATTCTTTATTCCGAGGCAACCAACAATAAAATCGACGAACAAACCCCCAAATTGAAGAATATGGAGTCAATTAAAGAGTTGAAGAAAAATGGGTCATTAGAACCCAAATTTTATTTTTCCTTAAACTTTGTATTTTGTTGTTTTTGGGCCTAAGCCCATATAATTATTTATTTATTTTATTCTTAGAATTTAGGACATATGCAGGTGAAGTGGGCCAAAGGCCCAAAACAAACGGGTCAAAAAACGCGAAAGCAAGTGGGTCCAAAATCCGATTCAGGCGGACAGAATCCGAGTTTGGGTACAAAATCTCTCTCTCTCTCTCTCTCATCTTATTACTTATCTGTTTTTATTTGTTGCTACTTTAAAGTTAGAAAACTCCAAATACCCGTCGAATGTCATAAAGTTTTAGTAACTTAAAATTAAACTAAGTTTAAATAGATCTAAAAAATATTTTTTGCTTAGGTAAAAAACTAAGAAACTCACTTCAAATAATTTTCAATAAATTTTATAAGTTAGTTATTTTAGCCAAATAAGTTCGTTATCGGACAACCGCAAGTTAGTGGATATTTTGGGTTCTTAACACTTTTTCAAAATACAATATATAACGACCTGTTTAGGCGTTTTGAGCAACAGATTTATTTCTGGAAAAACTGGCTGAGACGACGGATCCAACGACGGACCGTCATGGGCACGATGGACCGTCGAGGGGGTCTCGTTCCAAAACACTTAGATTTCTGAAATTTGGGTACTGAAATCGACTCTCTGAACTTCGTGACGACATGGCAGGACGGACCGTCGTGGGCACGACGGACCGTCACAGACTCTTCAGGGAATTGAGTCTCTAAACTCTGTGATGGAAGCAGCAGGACAGACCATCGTAGGCACGACGGGCCGTCACAGACTGCATAATCCCAGGCTGGGTCGGCTTTCTGTTAAATGTTTTAAGGGGCGTTTTGGACTATTCCTGCTATAATTATAAATTTAGTGGGTTAATGTTAATAACTTAACTATTTTAGGGTTAAAGGAGATAGCCTTGAATTAATTAAGGGGTTGATTTATCATCTTTGATACTTAATTATATGCTAATTAGGGTAAAAGAAAGAGGGTTTGAATAAGAAAAATAGAAAGAACTAGAGAGGGAGATCGATCGATCGAGAGAGAGAAGAACGAAGAGAAAAACGAAAAGGCTTGGAAAGTAGATTGCTTGATCACCATTCTTCAGTGGAGGTAGGTTATGGTTTTTTATGCTATTCGTAGTAGACTCTTAATAGTGAATGATATGTATTAGGTAGTATTGTAAAA